TGAACTTCAGCAGCCATTTTCTAGACCATTCCTCCAGTTTATCCAGGTCATCCTGTAGTCTCTGTCTATCTTCATCCGTCTTGATTCTTCTCATAATTTTTGCATCATCAGCAAACATCGAGAGGAATGAGTCTATACCCTCTGGAAGATCGTTCACATATATTAGAAACAGGATGGGTCCAAGTACTGAGCCCTGTGGGACTCCGCTGGTGACATCTCGCCACTCTGATGTCTTCCCCCTCACCGTTACTCGCTGTTTCCTGTTGCTTAAGTACTCCCTTATCCACTGGAGCACCTTCCCTTTTACTCCTGCCTGTTGCTCCAACTTTTTTAACAGCCTTTTATGGGGTACTGTGTCAAAGGCTTTTTGGCAATCCAGGAAAATGCAGTCGGCCCACCCTTCTCTTTCCTGCCTAATTTTCGTTGCCTGGTCATAAAATTCTATTAAACCTGTGAGGCACGATTTACCATCTCTGAACCCATGTTGGTGGTGCGTTACAAAGTTATTTCCCTCCAGATGCTCTACGAGCCTTTTCCTCACGATCTTCTCCAGCACCTTGCATGGTATACAAGTTAAGGAAACTGGCCTGTAATTCAGTGCCTCTTGCCTGTCACCCTTTTTGTATATTGGGACCACGTTAACTGTCTTCCAACTTTCTGGTAAGTCTCCTGTTTCCAGTGACCTGTTATACACCATAGAGAGTGGCACACTTAGTGCTTCTGCACCTTCCTTTAGTATCCATGGTGAGATTCTATCAGGCCCAACAGCCTTTGTCACATCTAGCTCCAGCAGACACCTTTTGACCTCATCACTGGTGAGGTCAAATTCCTCCAAGGTTGCTTGGTTTGCCGCCTCCTCATTTAGTGCAGGGGCTTCTCCTTGTTCTATTGTGAAGACCTCCTGGAATCTCTTGTTGAGTTCTTCACACACCTCCTTGTCATTCTTTGTGTATCTGTTCTCCCCTTTCCGCAGCTTCATCACTTGTTCCTTCACTGCTGTTTTCCTCCTGATATGGCTGTGGAGCAGCTTTGGTTGGGTCTTGGCTTTACTCGCGATGTCATTTTCAAACTGTCTCTCTGCTTCCCTCCTCACTCTGATGTACTAATTTCTGGCCCTCTGGTATCTCTCCCTGCTCTCTGGTGTTCTGTTATTTCTGTAGTTTCTCCATGTTCTTTTACTCAGTTGTTTCGCTACCTTACATTCCTGGTTGAACCATGGGTTTTTCTGTTGTTTTTCGTTTTTCCCCTTTTGGACGGGGATAAACCTGTCTGCAGCTTCCTGGCACTTTTGGGTGACAATATCCATCATGACCTGCACATTCTTGTCTCTAAGTTCTGTTTCCCATGGTATTCCCCTGAAGAAGTTCCTCATCTCGTCATATTTTCCTCTTCGGTAATTCAGTCTTTTCCCCTCCACTCCCATCCTTGGATAGGTTATCCCTACCTCCACCAAGTACTCAAAGGTCAGTACACTGTGGTCACTCATTCCTATGGGGGCTTCAACTTTGACTTCCCTTATTTCTGACTCATTCAGGGTGAATATTAAGTCGAGTCTAGCTGGTTCATCATTGCCTCTCATTCTTGTGGGTTCCTTGACATGCTGGCTCAGAAAATTCCTTGTTGCCACTTCCAAGAGTTTAGCTCGCCACGTATCTGCACCACCATGTGGGTCCCCATTCTCCCAGTCTATGTGTTCCCTAAGTGGTTCAGTTTTCAGTTATCCAGCAGGAATGGTGCTGCCTTCCATTAACCTGTGCGAATGAAAGTCTCCACTTACCACTTGGTAAAAAGGAATAATATATATATATATATATATATATATATAATGCAGCTAGCACTGATACGGTTACAAGTAATTTTAGCCAATCCCTTTGATCTGGTATCTTGCCACATATGAATTGTATTATAAACAATGACAAGATTCTTTCATGCTGTGAATTTATTGCACATGTATACTTTTATTTGTCTTTAAGCAGTTGCAATATATCAAATATTTGTCAAACATTGACTAACCTAGTTAGTATATTTTTATTTTAGTAGCAAGTAATTTACTTAGGTGAGCTCGTAAGTTCATGATTATAACCACACCTGCAATATAATGGGGTTAGTGGCACAAAAAGGCATTGGATCCAATCTCTAGTTACTACACTACCAACCTTCTCTTATTTTATTAGGATGCAGGTATGGAGCTTTGTCTTCTTATACAAAGATTTTACCCTCTTGTAAGGCCAGAGCTTGTAGTGCAACAACCTGTCCTCTTAAAAAGAACGTCGCTTTTGGCCGTTTACCCGTATGGCCGAATTTGGACGTAATTTGAAAATAAAAAAATATGAAAATAAATTTGGGATTTTTTTTTCAACAACAGTAAGTTAAGGGTCCTCTGATAGGTTAGGTGGGCAGGAAATTCTCATAAAGTTTCAAAACGTTATGAAAAACGTTAATTTAAAGTGTCCTCTTATAACCTCTGCGCGTACGCCGGACTCAAATAGAAAACGAAACAGAACGTCACTTTTGTGAGTCGATTTCATTTCAAATTACGTCCAAATTTGGCCATAGTGCGCATACGAGCGAAAAGTGACGTTAAAATTAAGAGGACGGGCTGGTTATTCACTACTAATGTTGATTTGGTGTTGTTGACTCTGTCGTGTTCTGGTTACAGGCGTCAGATGTTTCTAACCCTCCACTCACAGTTTATGGGAAGACACACACTTATTTCATTAAAATAGTGTCTTAATGTTTATACACATTTATGTACAGTTAGCACCACCATCCAGGTCGACGGATGATGAACAGCTACACATAAAGCAGCTTGAACATTGTGGAGTGTTGTTGAGGTGGTCGAGTGTTGTTTACTCAGTGAGGGAGGGTGGTGACAAGGCTGTGGTGTCAGTGTCCACACTCCTCTCACAGTGGCAAGACACACTTATCACTTTAAATAGTGTCTTGCTGTTTATGCAAATTGTACGTGCAGTTTACACCACCATCCAGGTCCACTGATGTTAAACGGCTGTAAATAAAGCAACTTGAACAACCATGGAGTTGTTGTTGATTTAGGGGTGACGACGATCGTGGGATCGGATGCGCCCCGACGTACCCGTGATGGGTTAATCGCGAAGCCCGGAAAGGTGAAACGCCAAGCAAATTGCAAAACGAGTGACGCCAATCACTAAAAACTAATATGCCTCGCGGCAAAGAAACACGCAGACGGGCGGAGAAAACCAGGTAGCAAAACCAAAACTCGACCCCCAATTAAAACGCAAAAAGTCATCCAGTATATTCTCTGGCAGAGCAAAAGCCGGCCGCCCACCATGACTGAGGGCACACCAGGAGCCCACCAAGACCCACCAACCCCCGGCACCTCTCGGCCAATCCGGCCCCCGAACACCGTCACCCCGCCGGGAGAACCAGCCAGTACACGCCAAAAAAATCTATCAACAATCCCGTGACCCAAGGCGATATGTGCGCCAGGCGTCGTACAATCGGACCGTTGAATAGGGATGCCAAACGGCAGTAGCAAAGCCAAAACGCGAAAACAAGACGTGAACAGGCGGCTCCCAGACAGAGGTGGTGTCCAGACGTCTACTCGGCGTCAAGGCTGAACAAGGGAGTCCCCATGAGGTGGTAGCGTGTTTATTAAAGTGTCAGCATCTGGACACACATGCAAATCTATCCTAAGGCGAGTATCATTGCATTGCTTCTTTTAATGATCCATTTAAACTATCGTTAACCAAATGTATTTGGCTAAACAAATATTTCTTAAGTATATGTATTTATTTTGAAGTATTACTATGGTATGCTTATAGCTGTTAGATGCAATTACATTTTCTGATATGGATTCATTTATAGAGGCCTTCCTGGGATGGTGAAGATCACAAAATGGTCGTATTATGCTGACTTGACACTCTCGGTTTCGAGAGAGCTTGGCCTGTTCTGTGAATAGCCATGCCTGGCCCATATGCTTTCATAAACCATGTACTCAGACATGTCATGCTATAATTTTGGTGGAAATTTTTCCACATTTAGAACCTTATTGTATTATAATCGTTGATTTAAAATACACAAAACCTATTGTTAATTCGTTTTTTTAAACAGTCTGAAGCCTAAGTTTTCTTTTAATTTAAATTCTAGAGGATACTCATACTATTCGATTCCATATTTCACGCATGGAACAATAATACACTGGTTTAACTTAATCTAAACGAACGTAAACCTTACATTACTATAGATGGGGAGTACATAATAGCAATAATGGCATAATGGTTCCAAAGGGATTACCTTGATTGTTGCCGCCGAAGGCGCCTAGTTTATTGTGCACCCCATACTCATCCTGTGAGCGGTAGCGCAAAAGCATTACAGAGGGCACAATAGGTCTTTATCAGACCTCATCTTAGATTATTACATAAACAATTTCTTCAATCCTTCACACCTTATAGATACAATGTCAGCTAGTTACAGAGAAAGTGCTATTACAAGAGCTACATCTTTACAGTAAGTAATCATACATTAATGGTAGGTCTTGTCGTTAATACATAATAGTTTGGCCAATGGGGATATTACAGAGTCATAGGGAAGCTTCTGTTTATTATTAGTCCTCACAATACACTACTTGTTTCTGAATCTCATATGTCGTTCATCTACTGGAAGCGAAATATGGATACAGTGCAAGGATTTCAGGTAATTTATCCATGGTAATAAGATAGGTTGCCATATCATACAGAGTGAGCTTAGATTTATCTCTAAAAGGCTCAATTTTACAACAATCCAAGATATAGTGTTCGAGTGTGTGTCCCTGCCTATGTCCACACACTTTACACTTTACTTCATCTAGATCCCTATACAAGCCGAACTGCCAGAGATACTTGTAGCCAAGTCTTATACGAGCTGTGTGGGTACATACATCCTGAGGACAGGTTGCTGCTGCTGTACCAAATTGACTGTACGTAAATGATTGTAAATCTTGGAAACCCAATTAAACTAATGCTCCTCTCTCCCTATTTCAGACAGAGAACAAGAGTTAAAGAGAAGACAGAATGAACGTCGAGGTGTTGGTGGTGCTGACCGTAGCCCAGGTGGAGCTGACCGTAGCCCAGGTGGAGCTGACAGTAGCTTTGGTGAGACTCTCATCTCTATATTGACATTTGGGTAGTGAGGTGCCTCGATGACTGCACACTACTACAATGGACATCACAATGTACCCGTGGACGTCACACTACACCAGTGGACGTCACACTACGCCAGTGGACGTCACACTTCACCAGTGGACGTCACACTACACCAGTGGACGTCACACTACACCAGTGGACGTCACACTACACCAGTGGACATATGCTCCTTCCTGCCACCTTCTTTGCAAGATTTTCCATTTCGCCCCTACCCTGACGTCCATGGCCACCACTCCCCCCCCCCACTAACGTCTACTGCAAGACTTAACTGAACCTGCTCCTAATCCACCCTAGTGTCATGTGCCTTAGTGTTTCTCCTTTGTCTATTTCTTGTTCTCGGTTCTTAACTTTGTCTACTTTTCAATGGAATATTCATGGCTTCTAAGCCAATTTTCATGAACTTTAACTTACGATATCACAATTTTCTCTGCTCTATATCTGTCTCTGAGCGCCGAGGCTTGGCATTCGTCCTGGTAATTTTCACGGTTATTCCTTTCTTTCCTCCCGTCCAGCTTTTGCTGGGACCTCTCCTAGCTCTACTGCTCTCTTGATCTGGATTGATTTTTCCATTGTTTCTCTACTTTTTCAGATAAACATTTATTCCTCTGCCAGTCGTGTTTTTCTACGCAAATGCTACACTATCTGATCCATTTCCACCCCCTGCATTTTCCTCTTTCTCCTTTCAATCTTAGATGACTTTGGGTCTCTTTTCAGAGCCTGTGCTCCATTTAGATAATTTTAACAGTCGGCATGTTTTCAGAGTGAAAGTCTAAGTAAAATCCACCAGTTTACAGGAGCGAACTTATCTACATGGCACAGCTTATTATATATACATATCCACAACGATGTAACAATCAAGTAAGTTAAGGGGGCGTCTGGTTATTATAATGAAAGTTGTTCAATGTCAACCAATATTATTTTTCTAGTTGTATATGAAAAGTGCTTAAATTGTCCCAAGTTTCAGTACTGCAGCGTAAATAGAAAGGGAGTTTTTTTTTTTTTTTTTTTTTTGAACGTTTTTTACACATTTTCAAGTCCACACTTCAGAACACACGTTTCAGATAAAATTATTCTGTGACACTTTTCTGACACATTAGCATATAATAAAGGATTTGGGGATTTAGAATTTCCAAAACATCTTTAGTTTTCCTAATACAAATGTTCAAAGTTCCCCAAAAATTTTTTGCAAATATGGCATGTTTATTGCTATTATAAAATCAATAAATGAACTTAGAGAAAAATGAAAGCCCCCAATGTAGAGACATGCCCTCCACATATACTGTGTAAGTTTCATGTAAATTGAATAAAAAAAGAATGAGTTTTGTAAACGTTTGTGTCAATTGAAAAAAAAACAGAAATGAATAAAGTCTAAGGTTCTAAAATCTGTGGCTGGGGTTGACATCAACCAATTTTCTCCAAAATAGGCATCCTTACAGATAGGCTTACGTACAGTCAGGTGTGTAAGTTTGATGCAAATCGCCCCAAAAAAAAATGAAAAAAAAAATATTTAAAAAAAAAAAGAAAAAAAAATCCTTTTTTTTTTTTTTTCCTTAATTTTTTTTTCCAATTAAACTAATAATAATATTTGTTTAATATATGCTATTGTGATAGCAAAGAGTTGTAGTTATGATTTCAGTTGACACTTTTGATTGATAATCGATTTTGACCATTTTTGCATAATTTTCACAACTACTTCAATATTTTTTTTCTCCCTTCCTATTTATGCTACAATGCTGAAACTTGGACCAGATGAAACACTTTTCATATAGAACTTGTCAAAAAAGTTTGATTGAAATCGAATGAGTTTTCATTTTTGCATTTTTGGACCCAGATGCCAACCAGACGCCCCCTTAACACAAGGCTAGAAGTCCTGAATCTCCTCTTCAGAGTTGAAGTCCACAAAGGCATCAAAATATGACACTACTCAGTGTTGGAGTCTCAGGGAGCCGCCAAACAGCAAATAAAATATGTCACTTCACATTTGTAGTTACAGTTTGGGAATTTTAGTGATAACACTTATTTAACTCTAATCCACACGATAATCCCCTTCTTACTTTACTGGTAAGAAGCGTGAGGGAATGGAATTCCCAGCTAGTTTTTCTAGATTATGTTAGAGTGTAGGGTGCACTCCAGTGCTCTAGAAACAATACGTTCACACACTACAAGCTCTTGTGGGGAGTGTAAAGAAAGCCCAAGCTTATGGGCTGTTCATTAAGACTACAAGGGAGTCTGTAACTGCTCTGTGAGAAGAAATACAGCGTTTAACATACTTAGATAATGTGTACAGAGCAAGGAGGTACTTGAAACTGGGGCCAACGGTTTTTTGGTGGAGGATGGGTGCTGGGCACCTCCCCCACCCTGTGTGTGACATCATCCCCAGGCCTCCCTCGCCTCCGTCACAAGTCATGTGACACGGGGAAGAGTGGTGGTTGGTAGTGGCACCTTGTAGGTGTTTGGGTGCCAAGTCCTGTGATTGGAAGTGGCATCTCATAGGCCTGTAAGGTTTCGTTCTGATTGGGCAAGACAAGGTGAGGGGGGGGTGGGGAGGCCAGTACCTTGGTGTCCTCTAACCCGCCAAAACTCAGTCTGGGATCGGCGTTGTCTGGGGCGAGGTGTCCTTGGTAGGGGTGGCCTGTCTGCCACCTCCAACACCGTTATCGCCATGTTATCATCAATTTCCTTATCCCTACGGTGATCCCGCTATCGTGGATTGTGCCTGGATCCAATTTGATCGATCGTGGGTGTTATGCGGGGGCAAATGGTTGCTCTGTGAGGGTCAAGGAGTTCCTCAAAGAATGAGAGCTCTTCACTCTCAGTCACATCAGTGTTAGGGATCCTGTAGACTGCTCCCACAGTCAAGACAGCCTCGCTACCCTTGACTCTGAAACAGGCAAATATATACTCTACAAGGGTCTCTAGATTTAATTACTTTTAAGCAAGTCAGTTCTAGTGGTAGTAAAGAGAAGTACCACCACCTCTTTGTATAGGACGACAGTTGTGAATAGCTGAGTAGTTAGGTATGTTGTAGAGTTGAGTAGTGTCCTCTTTTAACCACGTTTCAGTAAACACAACAAAAGAGAATTTGTTGTCAGCTGTTTGAATCAGGGCATTAACATAATCAAAGTGTTTGCTTAGAGATCTTACATTCAAGTTAATTACAGAAACATTGTGATTACAAGTTAAAGCATTGTTTACATCATGTGCTGTATAATACCTGTAACTTTGATCATTAAAGTGATGATTGTCATAGATACTAGATAAGAGGTTAAGGTCTGAGTCTATAATAGTTTGCATAAGAGGGCTGTTTGACAGAAAAAAACAAAAAAAAAATGTAAAAAATATCCAGATATGAAAAAAGAATATATAAAACTATACAAAAAATGAGGTAGGTCGCTTAAGGATACTTTCAGGTACACTGAAAGTAAAATTTGCACTAGAAGGCGCAGGCAAAGCCAAGAGCACAATGGAGCTAGGGTGGAGAGGCTGGGCAACCTGGGTTACAAGGGTGGAGAGGCTGGGCAACCTGGGTTACAAGGGTGGAGAGGCTGGGCAACCTGGGTTACAAGGGTGGAGAGGCTGGGCAACCTGGGTTACAAGGGTGGAGAGGCTAGGCAACCTGGGTTACAAGGGTGGAGAGGCTAGGCAACCTGGGTTACAAGGGTGGAGAGGCTGGGCAACCTGGGTTACAAGGGTGGAGAGGCTAGGCAACCTGGGTTACAAGGGTGGAGAGGCTGGGCAACCTGGGTTACAAGGGTGGAGAGGCTGGGCAACCTGGGTTACAAGGGTGGAGAGGCTAGGCAACCTGGGTTACAAGGGTGGAGAGGCTGGGCAACCTGGGTTACAAGGGTGGAGAGGCTAGGCAACCTGGGTTACAAGGGTGGAGAGGCTGGGCAACCTGGGTTACAAGGGTGGAGAGGCTAGGCAACCTGGGTTACAAGGGTGGAGAGGCTGGGCAACCTGGGTTACAAGGGTGGAGAGGCTAGGCAACCTGGGTTACAAGGGTGGAGAGGCTAGGCAACCTGGGTTACAAGGGTGGAGAGGCTAGGCAACCTGGGTTACAAGGGTGGTGAGGCTAGGCAACCTGGGTTACAAGGGTGGAGAGGCTGGGCAACCTGGGTTACAAGGGTGGAGAGGCTGGGCAACCTGGGTTACAAGGGTGGAGAGGCTAGGCAACCTGGGTTACAAGGGTGGAGAGGCTAGGCAACCTGGGTTACAAGGGTGGAGAGGCTAGGCAACCTGGGTTACAAGGGTGGAGAGGCTAGGCAACCTGGGTTACAAGGGTGGAGAGGCTAGGCAACCTGGGTTACAAGGGTGGAGAGGCTAGGCAACCTGGGTTACAAGGGTGGAGAGGCTAGGCAACCTGGGTTACAAGGGTGGAGAGGCTAGGCAACCTGGGTTACAAGGGTGGAGAGGCTAGGCAACCTGGGTTACAAGGGTGGAGAGGCTAGGCAACCTGGGTTACAAGGGTGGAGAGGCTAGGCAACCTGGGTTACAAGGGTGGAGAGGCTGGGCAACCTGGGTTACAAGGGTGGTGAGGCTGGGCAACCTGGGTTACAAGGGTGGAGAGGCTAGGCAACCTGGGTCGTAACAGTGGGAAAGATAGTAAAGAATTGAGAAGGACTCAGTATGAGTGAACATGTGCTCAGCCGAGGCAACAGGCAGCCTCGTTGTGATCGCACGTTATTACTCACATCTCTAGTCATCTGTTGTATTGACTAAGATGTTTGGCACGAGGTAGAATTGAGGATGGTTTCTCAAGTGTTAGAGGAAGATCCTAGCTGGGATTTAGTGAAATTACGAGTCCGTGTTGGGACATTGAATTCTACCTCACCCGCATCGCCATTATATGCACACCAGCACGCCCTGTGTACGAGTACCTCATGCTCGTGGCGTGTGTGCGTGTGTGCGCGCGCGCGTTCAAGAGTCCTCTACACCAGCTGTGTACGCCT